ACCAATTCTAACCAGTTCAACCAGTTGCAACCAATTCCAACCAGTTCCAACCAATCCAACCAATTCCAACCAGTTCAACCAGTTCCAACCAATTCCAACCAATCCAACCAGTTCCAACCAATTCCAACCAATCCAACCAGTTCTGACCAATCCAAAGATGCACAGCCTGAATCTAATCAGGAGGAAACATGAAACATACCCAAACTGAGGGACGTTCTACAAAATAACTCTCTTATAGTCTTCAAAAGTGTCAAGGTCATAAAAATCAAAGAAAGACTGAAGAACTGTTCCAGACTAAAGCGACCAAAGAGACTTGACAAATTCAGCACCTGGTTCCAATTAGATCTTTTGCTATTTAGGATGTTACTGGGATAACTGGTGAAACTTGAATGGGGTCTGAGGATGATAGTCATAATACTTAAGTGTTTATTTCCTGATTTTGATAGTTGTATCATGGTTATGTATGATAATGTATTCAGGGATAATGGAATATCAGGTTGGTCATTTACCTTCAAATAATTCAAGAAAAAGTTCTTTGTACTGTACTTGCAAATTTTTGGTAAGTTTGAAACTGTTTCAAAAAACATTATACAAAAATGTACATTATTAATAATGTACTGTGTAGAATATAATATATATTGCTCCTTGAATTTCATTTCTGACGTAAACCAGAATACTTCTTAGATAAGAGAAAAATGTGAAGAGATGACAATAAATTCAACTGTGAATTATTTCTGATATGGATGTTCGGATATATGTAACAAAAGATGTGCAAAACGTATACACTGAAAACTACAAAACATTGCTGAGAAAATTAAGGAAGATTTAATAAATGATGAGAAACTTCATGTTCATGGACTGGAAGACTCAATGTTGTTAAGATTTCAATTTTGTCCCAAATTGATCCATAGATTCAGTGCAATCCCAATTAAAGTCTCTGCAGGAGTTTTTGCAGAAATTGACAAGCCGGTTCTAAAATGTATGTGGAGATGCAAAGGACCTAGAAGAGCCAAAAGAATCTTGAAAAAGAAGAACAAATATGGAAACCTCACACTGCCTGATTCCAAGACTTATTATAAAGCTACGGTAATCAAAATAGCATGGTACTGGCATAAGAACAGACAAATAGGTCAATGAAACGGAATAGAATCCAAAATAAACCCAAACTTATTCCATCAATTGGTTTTCAACAAGGGTGCCAAAGCAATTTAATGGCAAAATAAATCTTTTCAACAAATTTTGCAGAAACAACTGTACCTCTACATGGAAAAAAAAAAATTAACCCCATGGGGCCGGCCTGGTGGCGCAAGCGGTTAAGTGCACGCGCTCTACTGCTGTGGCCCAGGGTTCGCTGGTTGGGATCCCGGGTGTGCACCAATGCACTGGTTGGCAAGCCATGCTGCCATATAAAGTAGAGGAAGATGGGCACGGATGTTAGCCCAGGGCCAGCCTTCCTCAGCAGAAAAAGGAGGAGGATTGGCAGATGTTAGCACAGGGCTGATCTCCTCACAGAAAAAAAAAAAAAAAAATTAACCCTAATCCTTCCTTCACAATATAGACAAAAATTAATTTCAGATGGCTTGCAGACTTAAATTAAATTAAAGCACATTAAATACTGCTCAACACCACTAGTCATCAGGGAAATGAAATTAAAGCCACAGTGAGATACCACTACATTACCATTAGTGTGGCTAGAATTTAAAAGACTGACATCACTAAATGTGGGTGAGAACCTGTGAGCAACCAGAACTCTTATACTTTGCTGATGGAAGTTTAAAATGGTACAACCACTTTAGGAAAAGCACTGGCAGTTTCTTATTAAATTGAACATACATATACCCCCTGTCCCAGCAATTCCACTCCTAGGTATTTACTTACTGAAGACAAATGAAAACATGAATACAAAAAGATTTAATAAGAATATTCATAATCTTTATTTATAGCCCCAAACCGGAAGTAACCCAAATATCTATCAAGCAAATTATGATATCGTCATACAATGGAATATGCTCAGGAATAAAAATGGACAAACTACTGACACACAACTACACAGAGGAATCCCAGAAGTACGCTGAGGGAAAGAAGCCAGCACAAAAGAATACATGCTGTAGTATTTCATTTATAGGAAGTTTTAAAATAGGCAAAATGAATCTATCATGACAGAAAGATCAGTGTTTACCTGGGGTGAGGAGTGGGAAGTGACTGGAAGGAGACATAGGGGAACTTTCTGGGGTGATGGAAATGTTCTGTAGTGTGATAGGGGTGTGTATGCTTTTGTCAAAACTCAATGAACTGTAACACTTTAGTTGTGTGTATTTCACTGGACATAAATTATATCTCAATAAAACATAAAAAGACAAAAAAGAATGAATACCTCTCTGTACATAAATATAGATAAATGTCAAAACTTAATGTTGAGTGAAAACTCAAATTGCAAGAAGATATCTATAGTATGATATTATTTATGTACATTTTATGGACACAAAACAACTGTATATATTGTTTTTGGACAAGTAACAAGTAAAAATTGTTATTTTTTTAAACGATAGATTTTCTTAGGATAGTGGCTATTCCTGGGGATGGAGGCAGGAGGAGAGAGAAGGAGAAAAGACGATTGGGGACAGAGGCCAGCTGGAGCTGTGTTTGTAACTACTTCACTGAGAGAAAGAGCGAGAGAGAGAGAGAGAGAGAGAGAGAGAGAGAGATCTGGAGCAAACACATCAGCTTGTTTCCCCATTGGTGCCCTCGGTAACACAGCGTTTGTTCCTCTTTGATGTTAGGTCAACATCAGCACCCAGGAGCTTTGGGAGGAAATGCTCAGTTCCAAAGGACTAACTGGTAATATAAGATAATTTTTTAGATTCATCCTTTTCAAAATTGCTAAATGACACATTAAACCATGAAGAGAAAAGCTGCAATGGGCACAATTTCCTATAACCTTGAGTTTCATGAATGAAGAAGCAGGCGATTTCCCTGTGTGTGTGTGTACGTATACATATATCTGGCTTGAACATGTTGGTCAACTCAGTTCAGGCAACCAGTCAGTGCTGTCGGATAACAGGGTTTCCTTGTTTCAGAGCTGGCTGTCTTCCTCAGGCGTTGTTTGGTGTTAAGGAACGGAAACCTCTGCTAATGACCTGAGGCACAAAAGGGGATGGAGTGGAAGGAATACAGGGGTCTCTTGGAAGTCAGGGGCTGGAAGGAGAGCCAGGCAACCCAAGGGCAGGGAAGCAGGGGCTGCACAGCCATGAGGAAACAGCACAGCCACTGGCCCTGGGCCTCCTCCCCTCCTTGTGTCAGTTATCGATTGCTGGGCAACAATTTACCCCGAAACTTAGTGGTTTGAAACGACAAACATTTACTATCCCACAGTTTCTGTGGGTCCGGAATCCAGGTATTGCTTAGCTGGGCGCCTCTGGCTTGGGGTCTCTCACCAGGCTGCAGTTAAGGAGTCAGGGAATGTCAAGGCTCAACCAGAATCAAATTTGCTTCCAAGCTCAGTCATGGGGCTTTGGCAGATCTTAGAAGGTCACTTCCAAGTTGATTCATGTGGCTATTTGTGGGACTCAGGTCTTTGCTGGCTGTTGGCCAGAGACATCAGTTTCCCCATAAGGTTACTTACAACATGGTAACTTTCTTCCCTCAGAGCAGGACGAGAGGGAAGGAGGGAGAGAGAGACAGAGAGAGAGAGAGGAAAGTCGTGGTCTTTTGTAACCTAACCTCAAGAGTGACATCCCATTCGTTACAAGCCAGTCACTAGGTCCAGCCTGCGCTCCAGAGCAGGGGGTCACACAGAGGCATAACTCCCAGGAGGCAGGACTCAGTGGCCCATCTTAGAGACTGTCTGCCACACCCCGCTCCCCTGCTGTTCCTTTCTCTTCTTCATTTACTCTAGATATCTCTGGGCTCTGTTTCTCTCTGTGTGTCTGCTCAAGTCTTCTCTCTATAAATACACCTGCTCCATCAGCTTGTATCTGCTCTTATCTCTCTGCATCACCCCCCCCCAACCCAAGGACTTCAGCTTTCAAACCCCCTCCCCCTTCCCTCCCTCGTGACTCAGTTTGTCTTTCCAGCTCTTCACCCACTGTTCCCTGAGGTGTGTCCTCAGCTCCAAATTGTTTCCTGAACATGCCACAAGTTTTCCTTCTTCACTTTTATCCGTGTTGTTCCTACTACCTGGAATATCATGGCCCCATCATGACCTGTAGAAATCGTCCTCATTCCCAGGCCCACCTCTAAAACAGCCTCCTTGCATGAAGTCTTTCCTGAACCTCTGCGTGGTCACTTCCCCCTGGGAGTCTCTAGGGCATTTGGGGTGGGACTCTGTCTCGACGCCCCCAGCACACGCCCAGCTTGGTGTGGCCCCTGTGTGGGTGAGCACCCACCCTCATGCATTTCCCCCTAAACTCTCAACACAGGGGCATTGTCTTTTTCATCTCCTTCTGTAGCAGACTTGTCCAGGCCTGGGTGCTAATTAAATGTGGTCACATTGACCCAGTAGTGTGGGGGTAAGTCTTGCCCCCCTCTACTACTTGAGGGATTACAAAGCTTTTTTGATGGTGCCAAGTCTTAACTCTTCTGTCTTGTCTGTGCAACGGGAACATGACTTCAGGGCAAAACAACCATGAATTCTATTTCTTTAACAACAGTAAGAAAACTACCCCCTCATCACTTGTGAGAATGTGCCATGTCCGGACACCCGATGTGACCCTGGCTAACATCTGTCGAGTGTGGATCCTGTCAAGCCCTTCTCTAAGCCATGCAAGGGAATCGTGTTGACTGAAGGCTGCAGGGGCTCGTCTGCCCCTTCTCATCAGGCAGTCTCGAGGAAGATATGCTCTTTCTTCTTTCTAGAGCCAGCAGAAATTTGCTTCCCAAGTCAACCACCATCTTGGAAGTCTTGCCTTCTGCTGGCTCATTTCCCTCTGCCTTCAAACAGGCAAAAGTCTATTCAGATTTACACACACATACTACCTGCAGCTTTTGATTTTCTCTGCCATTTCTCTCCTTCCAGACGTCTTTTCTGTTTTGCTTCCTGTCTTTCAGAGTCAAACTCTTCGGAGTCCTCTCCAGTCCCCACCCCTCATAACCTTGTGAAGTGTGCCCTCATCCCCACCACTCCTCGGAGCGCCAGGGAGCGCAAGAGGAGGTGGGAAGCTGATACAAAAGACTGGGCTGAACTATCAATGCAAATCCTGCATAGAGATTGGTAGCTAACTGGGCCCCCAAGTCTTTCCCCCTGGGGCTTGAACCTGCTCTCCTTGGTGGGCCTGGATACAGGGTCCTCTAAGTCTTCAAGGACTTTTTCCTGGCTTGACCCAAATGCCCTTCTCCCTTAACTGTGAAGCTGTTGTCCTTGAAGAAGCCCAGATCTTTATCCTCCACCTGATGCTGTGGCCCAAACCCCTCTCTCCTGGCCCTGCTGGTGTCTGGTTGCCTTTGGGACCACTCGCCTTAGATTCTCTGGTTGGTCTGGAGACCCAGCGTCTAGAGTCTAGTTCACTTTTCTCCCTCCCCAAACGCTCTCTCCCTGCCCCCACCCAGTTCTTTCTCTCTGCCAGGCTCCAAGGTGGAGTCCTTTTCACACCCACACGACTTTCCTCCCCAGTCTCTCCACTTCCTTTTCAAAGTCTCATGGATTCGTCTGTTCCTTCCCTCCCATTGACACTGCCACCCCCGTGTCTGGCTTCCTCATCCCTCCCACACCCAGCTTGGCTCTCACTTTCTCTTTGCAAAACTATGCTGCTTGGCTGAACTAACCAGGACTCCTGCATTTGTGCATCCTGCTTCTTTCCTGGAGGAGTTGAAAGAGCATGGGCTAGGGCTTCAGACAAACCTGGGTTCAAAACTTGGTTCCACTGCTTGAGAATTTTTATTCTTTTACCTTGGGTGGGTTGCTCCACCTCTTTGAACTTCAGCTTCGTCATCTCTATAGTAGGATAATGATCTACCCAAAATACCCATCTCACTGGGTTTTTTGAGAGAAAAGCAAAGAGCAGATGCTCTCTTGCAGCTCAGTCAATATCAGCTCCCTCTCCTCTCTAAAACTTGCTGTGAGTGCTCATGGCCCATTAGATCAGGATGGAACTCCATAAACCCACATTCCACACTCCTCCAGGGATCTCTGCCACCACTGCCCACAGCCCAACCGCAGGCAGGTCTGGGCCAGCATGTGCGGTAGCCCCTAAACCTTACCCCGACCGGTGCCTGGCTGCCCGTGCTTCCACCATGGCCTCCCTCTCTGCCCATCCAAGCCTGGCATTTTCCAAAATGCCCAGTGTAAGTCACCCCTCCACTGGGACACCTTCCTTCCCTGATTAGTACAGTACAGTGTTAATACGGTGCTGCCAGAGTCTACGTTAATTTGAATAATGATAATTTATATCGTTTTATTAATAGTTCTCACATGATGTGAAAATCTTGAAATGTGAATCTTCAAAAAGTGAAATCACAAATTGCATGCTATGAAAATTGGCAGGCCTGATAGTTTATAAACAGTGTCCACACTATCTCCCCATGACCCCGTGACCCTGCCACTCCTGCTGCTGAACAGCAGTGCCCACCTGTGTGGATTAGGCATGAACTTGGTGAGCGCTGAGGTCTTTTTGAAGACATCCTTCCTCTAAAATGTGACCTCCGGGATACCACAGTCTAGCACTTGCTGCGTCTTCGTGATGGGGCTGGCGGGTCCCCCGCGGATCTGGTGCTCTTGTGCTGGCCCAGCTTGCTTACAGGGCTCGAGGTCCAGTGCAGTCTGATGAGAGGGTTCCCTCACGCCTGGCCCTGCACACTCCACACACTGGGCCCAGAGAAGAAAAAGGTATCCAAGTTCCCACCTTCGTCTCTATCAGCTTCACTTCCCAGGAGAACAATGTAGAGTTTATAAAGTAAATAAAACTCTCCTTTACCCAAAGCGAGTAGCTTTTAATTCGACAGGGAAAAGGTCAAATCTGTGTTTATTATCAAAGTAGCTAAGAGTTGACTGTACACTGGCGGGTCACCTACAGTGACTTCTTCCTTTTAGAACAGTTTCAGTCCAATTCAAATATTTATCGAGGGCCACTCTGTGCTGGGCCTGATGCTGAATGTGCCTGAAAATTCCCTAAGGCAAAGGATCCATGTTAAGACAATGATTTTTCACCCTACTTACTTCATTGTGTTTAGAATTCAGAACACTGAGTTCATAAGAATGAGGGAGAGCTGGGTTTGCGTGCTTGCTCACACTCCTAGGCGACAATAAATCCCTTTAACCGTTAAGTGCCCCTGCAGACAGACGTCCTCCAGAGGGGGTGAGAATGTGCAGGTGTAAATTCTGCCTGACGTGGGTAGTGCTGGTGCCCACAGAACGGTCCCGCTTCTTGTCCACACAGTGGTCGACGTCTATCAAGGCTGGTGTGGCCCCTGCAAACCCGTGGTGAGCCTCTTCCAGAAGATGAGGATCGAGGCTGGCCCGGACCTTCTGCATTTTGCATTAGTAAGATCCTCTTTCACCAGCATGTCACACAACATTGTAAAAAATTAAAAATTTAAAAATAGGAACAGGAAGTGTGAGCTGCCTTTTCCACATCATTGAAAAGGCATCAGCTGTGGATATTTTGGTTGCTGTCAGTCATGACACTTTATAGTTTCTCAGAGATGAAGATTCCGACCCCAGCCCCACCTCCCTACCAGTCACTCGGCGAGGGCAGTCTCCTGACGCCGTGTTCGGGGAAGGAATCCGTGTCCCTCTAACGCGGATGCTCCTTCGTGGCTCATGAACACTGTGAACTCTGAAGTTTCACTTTCGGAGCCCAGGGTTTCAAGATTTCTATCCTCTGCTCCCTAAAGGGGAACTTTTTTTTTTTTTGTGAGGAAGAATAGCCCTGAGCTAACATCCGTGCCAATCCTTCCTCTTTTTGCTGAGGAAGACTGGCCCTGGGCTAACATCCGTGCCCACCTTCCTCCCCTTTATATGAGACACCGCCACAGCATGGCCTGACAAGTGGTGCCTCGCTGGGCGCCCGGGATCCGAACCCGGGCCGCCAGCAGCAGAGCACACGCACTTAACCTCTACGCCATGGGGCCGGCCCCTAAAGGGGAACTTTTAGCAAACATTTACTTGGACTAATGTATGGAAATGGGAATAAATTCCGGAGAAGTGTGCAAGAGACATTCGAGATGCTGCATGGGTTTGAGGTTCATAGGCAGTGAACACAGGAGAAAATATACCTTATGCTAGTTTCTAGAGAAGTTTGCCTTCAAGCACTGTGCACTTCCTCCCTCGGGAGCCAGTGCTGACGCTTCTGTAGCGTGCGGAGGAAGTGCCCGATGGGGACTCGCTGTGTCCACGGACAGACGGGGTTTACTAGACACTGAAGGCAGAGTGTGAGGCCCTTCCACCTCTGTCATCACCAGTCGTGCAGCGGGAGGGCGCTGGACAGTGGAGCTCCCGTGTCCGGGAGCAGGAGCTGGGTGGGGAGCAGGAGAAACCGTCATTTCCTCCTTATTTTATTCTTTTTTTTAGCAATTTTTTTTTTTTTTT